GCAGGGGGGGGGGGCACTATGAATGGGAGAAGCTTTCAAAACACAGGAGCGTTTCCATGAGAATCTGAAGAGGAAAGGAGTTGTAAAGTCCCCGCGTATTCCCCTCCTGTTATCACATCAGCATTGTAATAGGAATACATACTGGGGATGTTTCTGATAATACAATAAAAGCTTACTTTAAAAAAGCCGCCTTCCATCTGCCCTTCAGTTCCACCAACTTCCTGGATTCCTAGTGTGCTTTGTGTCTCTTTCCCTGCTGCTTGATGTGATGCAATCTCCATTTCTCAAGACTACATATCCCATCATGCATTGCTTCCATCAAGCAATGATATTGTTACATTGTTTAGACATTGTGCTGTGGTTTAGAAGGCAGGCTCTGTCAGAGCGGTGACACCAGGAAGTACATATTTCACAAGGCTGAGTGAGATGGTGTCACTGCATCGAGGAAGTTCATCGTTTGGGTATCTTCAGTAACTAAGTTTACAATCTTCTAGATGGATCTGGTTATTAACAGCGGGATAGAACTTTAGAACTTACGGAAATTCAACATATACAAATTTATTTGTAGTTTTTTCTTACCAGCAATCTTAACTCAAGGAAGATATGAGATAATTGAATGCAGCTCTGTAATAGGTAATACATCTTAGAAGTGTTTTCTTACCATCAAGCCGTGTAAGGACCTGAATGTGACCTGGTATCTGCCAGTAACTGTACAGCAGAACCCAGAGAGGGGGAGGGAAAAGCAGCAAAATGAACCAATCAAGTGATTTGCAGTGCAAGGAGCATGTTGATAGTAGGAGAGAACAGAGTAACGGAGATGAGCTCAGTGGTGTGCTCCCCTATATAGATTCCATCTGTGTATTTAGTGTTTTGTCTAGAGTTCAACTTTAAAGGAGAACTATGAGTTGAGTGAAAATCACTCACCTCATAGTTCCAGCCGACGTGTGACAATGAGACTGTCATAGGTCAGCTCAGTAGGTCGGGAAGTGAGCGAACACATACCGGCGTTTACTCACTTCTCGATCATCTCCCTGCAGAGAGCGGTGACTGTTAGTCACGGCTCCCTGCAGGGATTCCCCTCCCTTCACGCTCTGATCATCTAGCGCTGACTGGTGGAACGGACGGGGGAGGGGGCCGGCACAGCTGGCTCTTCCTCTAGGTAGGCAGAGCCCGCTGTCACTCACGCAGCTGGGCGGATCTCGAGAGTAATGTCGGGATACGTCCCGACTGCGGCGGTCTCAGTATACCGCAAGCTGTAGCTCGCGATATACTGAGCTTTGGGTCATGAGAGGACGCCAGTATATGTCGTCCTGAGACCCTTAAGAGACCTATGGGGAAAAACACTGACCCCATACTTCTCCTTTAAGCACGGGGTAGGAGATGAGGATACTGGAGTGACGGCTGACTATAATGGGGCTTTGCAGTGATCTATAAATCAGTCATTTCTAGACAGTAATAGCATTGGGCCATGTTAGGTCAGTTTAACGGCACCAAACCCCTCATGAGGTGAATTGAAACCTTTGAGCGCTCGTGTAACATTTTATGATTGGTGCTTCGGTCACATTTTCCCGGAAGGAGAATTTCTTTTCTGAGAAGTTACACATTTTAAAGTGTTCAGTCTGATGATCTGAGTGATATCTGCTTCTGGTCCGTGTGTGTGCGTGCCTCCCTCTCTGTACAAGCAGCATGCATTCACCATGTACTGTGTGTCTGTTCTCAGGGCGCTCATCTGTGAACCCCCCCAATGTTGCTTCAAGAGACGAGCGCTGGAGACCTCCTGACACGGGCAGCAGCTCAGGGGGACATCGAGGAGGTGAGGAGAATGCTGCACCAAGAGAAGATCCATCCGGACTGCCTGAACCACTTCGGGAGGACCGCATTGCAGGTGAGGCGGAAACTGTAATTATTATTTTACTATTCATTAAAAAATGTACCTATTTGTAACACCTGTAAACCGGTGTTCTATCGAAGGCTCCAACTCATCGAGATCTCCAACTACCTCATTTCCGGTGCTCAGAAAGACTGGAGCTCTGTACAGTTGCGGCGCGCATGGCGTTTTCCGAATACTCGTCGAGTTTGCCAGCTGCTGAATATTGTGAAAATGCAGCTGTACAGAGCTCAGTCAGTCTTTGTGTTTTGCAGTCTAACGCCGTCTGGTCGAAACCGCCAACTTGCAAGTACCCGGCAGTGAGGTAGTTGGAGAATTCGACGAGTTAGAGCTTTCGATAGAACACCGGCTGTCAATGGTCCTTTTCAGTGCGTGGTAAAGTCTGCCCCGCTGTCTGTAAACTTGGCCTAGTGTAAAGGCGATGCAGTTACACTTTTAAAATTGGCGATGCTGCAGTTGGTCTGTTTTTTTCCCTCTCATCTTGAATACATTTCTTTCTGTCCATCTGTCTGCAGGTGATGATGTTCGGCAGTACGTCAGTAGCATCAGAACTGCTGAAACAAGGAGCCACGGCGAACATTCAAGACCCGTATGGCATCACACCGGCACACGATGCGGCCCGCACGGGTTTCCTAGACACGTTGCAGATCCTGGTTGAGTACGGCGCAGATCTGAACGTGTCTGACGTCTCAGGGTCACTCCCCATCCACCTGGCTCTTCGTGAAGGTCACATCCCTGTCATTGTCTACCTCGCCTCACGATCCAACCTGCAGCATTGTGACCAAGAGGGGAAAACGCCCCTACAGCTCGCCTCCATGCTTGACCCCAGCCTGGCAGCCATTTTGGAGCAGTATACGTAGAAGACCCCCCCCCCATTCGAGGGCATCGAAACAGGCCACGTGAACAACAGATGGTGGGATCCATATTGTTAACGCTGTGTGTTTAGTATTGTGCATGGGCTCCGCCGTATTATATAGCACAACTTAAAGTATACAGATCAATCAACGGGACAGGTTTTTAAAGTGCACCTGTCTCCACTCAAAGCCATTGCGTGTCCTAACATCCGAAATGCAGACTCCATTTTGTTTTAATGGAGCCAATGACACCCCGCGTAAGTCAGCCGTAGCACGGATTCCCTGAGACTGGCTGAACCAGTGTATTAATATTGGCTTCTACTTTCACAAAATGGCCACCTCTGTTGTTTAGCTACACATGCACTTTATCTTTCTGATCTGTTCATGTTGAAGTTTATCAATGCACAGGAATATTCGGTAGGACGGTGCGAGGAGCGGGTTGCGGCGGATATCATCTTTGCACCGTCTTATTGGATGAGCCTATGAATATCTGTTGTCGTATTTACAGGCAACAGCAGCTTTCCAGAGACTTCTCGGGTGTATATATATCAATATGTATGTATATATTTTAAGTGTGTACTTATGGCCGGTTATGTGCAGTTTTTTTTAACTCATTTTTATTTTATTTTTTATACTCAGGTTGTTTTAATTTTGTTGCATCATAACATTTCGTTATGTTTATTTAACTAATAGGTCTTGCTCTATGCAAAAAGCATTAAAAGTAAGGATTGCCGTGAGCGGAAAGTACTACGCCGCCGAGTAATAAGGTATTACGAGGTTTAAAAACCCGACTCTTCTGGGGAAAAAGAGCAAATTCTAAGGCAGGGAAGCGAAAGATCGTATTTATTATTTGTTTTTTTGATTGTTGGCTTTTGCAGGCTCTTGAAATATCTTTTGTGCCCATAGTGGAAATCCTCACTGCTTGCTGGTCCCTATAAGGCCAATGTGGACGTATTGAATACAGCGTCCACAGGCTTGGCGTACACTTTGAACACTTTTTTTTGTGTGTGACGGAATGTATACATCAGAATTCCAACAGGGTTATTCACAAAAGGGTGAAGAGTTTGGAGAAGGCAGGAGAAGTGACCAATCTAAGACAACATCGCTGAACTGGAAAGTGATCTGAATTGGAGAATGTTTCCAAATCGGCTATTTTTGCCTAGATTGTTCACTTCTCCTGCCTTCTCCAAACTCTTCACCCTATAGGGAATAGCCCTGCACATGTTCACCAAGAAAGAATTCCTGTTTTCGTTTAGGCCTTGTTCACACCAGGGCTTAGCGGGGGACGGGTGCTGTGGGAATGTGTATTGCCACATATTTGCTTCCCTGTTTACCCCCATTGGGTCCCTGGATATGTGCCAATCGCAGAACAGAAGAACATGCCGCAAATTTGGCGGCATGCATTCCGCTTGTTTCCCCCCACCCCCCTCCCCGCATGTTTGGGGGGCCATTGCCTAGTAAATAGCAATGCAAACGCGTTCCGCTTTGTGCACATATCGTGAACATGCTTTGAAGCGTGCACTTTTGTGCACGTTTGACGCACATTCCTTATACGTCCTGGAGTGAACGGAGCCTAAAACAGTGTGGGCTATTTTTTGCCCATTAGGAGTTTGCCTACCCCTGCTTCAACCAGTCTTGTTTCAGCATGTTTGTTTTCAGATAAGTGCTCATGCTTCGTACAGCCCTGGTTCTCTTATGGAAATTAGAGACACTGTTGCCTTGTTGATTCAGGACAAAGTGGCAGTGTCTTTCTAAAGGGCCTACCACTGCCTGACATGACCAGGGGAGTGACGTCTCTTAGAAGCCGACACTTGGGTTTTTATTGTCATCTACAACAAAGGCAGGCGCAGTCGGCTAGGGCTTGCGAGGTGATTACCGAGGTTCACCCTTTGCAACAACTCTGTCACACCTGAATGGGTAAGGGGACAGTATCTCTCTTTAAGAATCTAAATTGCCAAAACAGAGCCCCCCCCCCCCCCTGATAAAGGTTTTACTTTATTCTTATGGCAACAAAATAAGTGACTCATTCTATTGTGAGAATTTGGGCTTTTCCCTTGCCTTGCGGTATAATATTTGTCTGAAAGCAGTTACAGATTATTTTTAAATTCCTTCTTGAATTTTACATGCAAACAAATGTATACAGAACAGAGAAAAGAATAAGACGTCGCAAACTAACAAACCCCCTTTCACCCCACCCGAAACGTATATTAAACCTGAATCATCGAATGCCATAAATGTCATTTATTATTGTCCTCAAAGGATTACAATTTGGTGGTAGGCGGACAAGCAGACGAGGAATGTTTCCTCTGTATTGCTCCCACCAGCTTGCATTGTAGGCTTTGCTCACGCAGATACATTTCATAGATCCCGATTTCCCAAAAAGCGGCGGGGGAGGGCGCTTGTATTCCAAGACTGCCAGCACAGTGTTTGGAGGACAATTGCCCTTTAGGGAGCGATGTGGCAAAAATTCACAGTCTTAACTGTTTGTGTGCCAGAGAACACTGACGTGTTAAAAAAAAAAAATGTAAATAAGTCATCCCTTTTTATTACCTTCGAGGAAAAGGTAGCCGTAAAGAGGGACTCCACCTTCAGATCTTACAGAATACATTTCTATCCTATCATCTGTCCAGTTTTATTTCTACCATTGGACTGCGCAGAGACACAGGGGTTGATTTACTAAAGGCAAATCGGCTGTTCACTTTGCAGGAGAAGTTTCCCTTAGCTTAGTGAATGAGGTGACGTTCTACTGACTTCCGGCATCCAATTATGCGCAAGCAAAAATACTACAGGTGCACCGAAATGGAAATTCTAAAACCATGAGCAGTGTGGGAGGAGACGCCGGCCGCTCACAGCGCTCGGCAGGCTATCGCACTTTCTGTCCTCCCCGCTGGAGCACAGAGCAGCGCCCAGCGGGGTGGAAAGAAAGGACGGATGCGCCGATGTATCGGCAGGAAAATGGCACTTTCGGCATGATGCGGCCGATATATCGGTGCATCCCTAAAAAATACATTTATTTATTTTTTATTTACCTTGCACATGATTGGGTATTCTTTGAAACCATTCATTTAAGTTAATGGAAAACCTCCCCTGAAAAGTGCAAATTCCCTTGCAATGTGAACTGCCTATATGCTTTTACTAAATTTACCCCCATGGTGAGAGCAGCAACTTGGATACTTGTAGCTAAATAATGTCAGGCTATAAATAAAGTAGGGTATACCTCTG